TGATGCTTGACCTGGCTGAGATGATTGAAAAGGTGCAGGCTACAGAAATAATGCAACATTATAAGGCCAAAAATATATTAAAAGAAAACTGTACGAGCAGGGACCAATTACGCAAAATAACTACGTAACTGTGAAAAGAACAGCCACCACCAAAAGAAATGAATAAAAAAGGAGCGAAATGCTTCAGCATAAAAACAATGCGAAAACAAAAAATCACCATTGTTTGTCCAAATGGAGAGCTGCTGGTCGTGGTTAAGGTTGAAGAACTTGAAAACATGTTGCCAAACCCAGTAGAAGGCTTATTGAACATGTTAGTTTGGCCGAATGCAGGAGCACTACTCTGTCCGAACTGTCCAAAAGCAGAACCAGTCTGTCCAAATGCAGAACCAGTCTGTCCAAATGCAGAACCAGTCTGCCCCATCGAGGGGTTTGAGCTGAACAGATTAGATGACTGAGTGTTACCAAACGCTGGAGTTGCCCCTTGACCTGGAGCCGAACCGAATATTGAAGGAGAAGAGCCAAATCCAGGAGTGCTTGAAGAACCAAATAATGGTGATGAAGTCGTTGTTCCAAAAGCGGAAGTGGTAGTTGTTGAGGTTGACCCGAAAAGATTGGATGAAGATGTTGCACCAAAGGGCGATGATCCAAAATTTGAAGTAGCCGCTCCAAAACCCGAACTGGCAAGTGTTGGGGTTTGAGGGCCGAAAGGGTTGGTAGATGTTGAACTGGAAAAGGGGTTTGTTGGATTTGCTGGTGTCTGACCAAACGCCGGTGATGGAGCAAAGGGATTTGGCTGAGCAGCTGATACACCAAATCCGGTATTTCCAGGAGACTGACCAGCAGGACGTGGTCCACCTGAAAATTGAATATGTAGGGAATCCATAATTGTTAGAAAAAGTACAAGAATATAGCGTTATTCACCAGATTTGTTTGATCAAGTGTACTGTGTACCTTTATCTCCGCGCTGGTAGTCTTCCCACCTTAGCTCCTCATGGCTTTTATCTTTGTATGCCGGCATGGCAGAAACAGATTCCAACTTTCCAGCAGGCGTACCACTGGCTGTATCTGTCTCAACTGTCGGTGCATAAGGCACGACTCGACTGCCACCTTGTTGTTGACCACCGAAAGGTGATTGACCAAAACCAGAACTCCCAAATGTTGGGGTTGAAGCCTGCGCACCTGCTAAACAAATCATGCAAACATATTTCTTCATCATTTATTCAAATGACTAACACAACAATTAGTTTGGACATGCTAAAGGGAAAACCTTGAGCTCCAAAGGCAGATGGTGTAGAGCCAAATGCGCTGCTGCCAAACGCTGATGTGGACTGGCCAAAAGCTGGGGAGGAGCCAAAACTGAACGATGAGGTATTTGATGCACCAAAAGTAGGCGTACTAGATGCTCCAAAGGCAGGAGAACTTGATGCACCAAAGGCAGAAGTACTTGATGAACCAAAGGAAGGAGCTGCACCAAAAGCAGGAGAACTTGATGCACCAAAAGCAGGAGTGCTTGATGCACCAAAAGCAGGGGTGCTTGATGCACCAAAAGCACCTCCAGAACCAAAGCCAGTGTTCCCAAACGTGTTGCCAGTGCTACCAAAGGCTGGAGTCGGTGAAGCTCCAAATGCAGGTGTGCTTGTTGCGCCAAAGGCTGGCTGGCTAGAGGCACCGAAGGCAGGCGTGCTTGTGGCACCAAAGGCAGGCGTGCTCGAGGCACCAAAGGCAGGCGTGCTTGTGGAACCAAAAGCAGGCGTGCTCGTGGCACCAAAAGGTGTGGATGAACCAAAAGTGTTGTTTCCAAATGCAGGTTGCGATTGCTGCGCTGTGCTTCCAAAAGGATTCGACTGCGGCGTTGAAAATCCCTGCCCAAAACCAGAAGACCCTGAAAGAAGAGCAAATAAAATAACTCAGTCCCCAAAGAACATGTAAAACTGAAAAAAAAATGGACTAACGAGAACATGTAGTAAAGAAAGGAAAATAGCAACGAAATCGGGAGCCAATATCTAAAAAACAGCAGAAAAAGAACCAAAAACAAAGTGAAAAACATTCTACACACCACAAAACTTAGATACTGTGCACTGACACAAAGAGCACAATTAAATGCTCGATAGTATCAAAACCATTAATCAACACTAATTCTTAAACCTACCAATACAGAATGCAAAAGACCACCTCCTCAGGCATGCATATATCCACGATGTTAAAAAAAATATATCCATATCCAGAAACAAGCAATAAATAATTGAGGTAACTAACAAATAAAGCAATGTATAAGGTACTTACCACCAAAAGGTGAAGCTGCTGGGGAAGCACCAAAGGCCGGAGTAGAACTCCCAAAAGCTGGTGATGAAGAAGCTCCAAACGTCGTGGTAGAGCCGAACGGAGAGGAGGCTTGAGGTGCACCAAACACACCGGTTGAAGTGCCACCAAACACTGAACTCCCAGTCTGTGCACCNAAATAAAGCAATGTATAAGGTACTTACCACCAAAAGGTGAAGCTGCTGGGGAAGCACCAAAGGCCGGAGTAGAACTCCCAAAAGCTGGTGATGAAGAAGCTCCAAACGTCGTGGTAGAGCCGAACGGAGAGGAGGCTTGAGGTGCACCAAACACACCGGTTGAAGTGCCACCAAACACTGAACTCCCAGTCTGTGCACCAAAAGGTGAAGATGTGCCAAACGGGGTTGCTGCTGGAGCAAAGGGATTATTACTACTTGTGTTGCTGGTCTGACCAAACAAAGATTGAGACCCAAATGGGCTGCTACCAGTAGCAGATGACTGTCCAAAAGCTGTGAGAAAAAAACATTTCAAAAAATCAATTCTCCTTTCAATTATTACATAACAAATAAATAGCATGAAACCAGAAAAAAAAAAAAAAAAAAATCATAACGCGATAGACGGCTACAGAAGCATAAAAGATACATATCACTTATGATTAGATAATAATAACAGTATTACACAAGGTCAATTAATTCTTTTGTAAAGTATTACAATAACGAATAAGAAGGCAACATAAAGCAAACAAAGTAAGTATAAGATCATATCACTTACGATTAGATGATGATCCAAACATCTTCTTCCTCTGTAGTTTCACAACGCAGGCAAAAGAGATTAATTATATTACCTCGTAGCTGGTAAAAGAACAAAAGAAAAACTATTAGAGCACATAAGCAACATCATTCAACATCCATAATCATACTAACGATGAAGCAACTACAAAAGAGTACACAACGTTCTTCGATTCAAAAACTTGGAATTAATCGAAACACAGACGAATCGCGGATATAACGAGAAATCCAGCAATAAAATCAAACCCTGGGACTAATTCGAAATGTAACTTTCACGAAACAACGAAGAAAGCCTCTGAATCTGATGTGAAACGAGACAAAAACACGTTCTTAGATCAATCAAATAAACCTAAAAAGTATCAAACGGAAGGCTGACTATTCTGCGTGGGGGAAGAGATTAGGGTTCAGGAGTTAAATCGCCGATAAGGGAGAGAGAGAGAGAGAGACTTATAGGTTTGGCGTTAAATCAAAACGTGGAGCAAAAGAATATTAGGTGTGGAATTGGAACCTGAAAATGACGACCAAGTTAGGAGCAATCTCGCCGGAATCGAAAGCGCGACTCTAATTTGCCGAAATTATATGTTTTAGGTCACACTATTTATATATTTATATATCTATCAAACCAACTCTAATATAAAAACTGTTATTCAACAATTAATTTGGCTATTTATTTATTTTATGGTAAGTAATTTATATAGCACAGAGAAATTATGAGAAAAACAACAACAGATAGCTAATAACATTTTTAAAAGCTAATACTAATTAAAACTGAAAAATAAATAAATGATTTGTTGTCAAAAATTAAATTAAATTATTTCAGATCCTAAGTCATTTAAATTAAATTAAATTAAATTAATAGCCATAGATTTTAAGCACTAAACTAATAATTAGAAATTAACAAAATAAAATGATTTTTATTTAATGTTATTTTAGAAATTTTCTGTCTTTGTGTACTATTTACGAATAAAAAAACAATTTATTGATATCTACTATATTAAAAGAGAAGTCATGACTCTTTTAATGTGTGATATTTAAAATAAACCATCTATTAAAATTTGTCACATTACATTATTCAATCATTAATTAGTAACCTTAAAATTAGTTATCTATAATTTTGGGCTTATCAATTTTTTATTGGGCTAACAATAATTGGATAACCCATTAAATTTAAAGATAATATAATAAAACATATGTTTATATTAAATGGATATGATTTATTGTTATAATAGTATATCTTCATAAGTTAATTATTTATAATATATTTGTCGATGTTAACTTTTAAAAATTAGATAATTTACTTTATAAAATAACAAAAATCATCATTTTCTAACAATGATTAGGCTATACTACATTAAACCAATAAAAACATTTTTAAAGTTATATAGTTTATTTTTAAAATAACAAAAATTAAATGTTTAGTTATTTACTCCATAATATGAAGCTAGTAGTTTTATTTTTGTTAAACTTTCTAAATTTGAGAAATATTATAATATCTTTAAAGATAAGAATAAAACAATATTTTACCAATCTTTATATATATTTACGACTTTAATAATGAAATAATAATTCAAAATAATATATATAGAAGAAGATACAAATACATGTGAAGGTATCTTTTAAAAATTGATATACATATCTCATATATATATATATATATATATATATCAATTTAGAAGTGAAAATAAATTGTTTTAAAAAATTGAAACCAAAATGTTTTTATAAGAATAAATGAAAATAAACATCCGTGCGGTTGTACGGGTCAAGATCTAGTTTTAGATTATTTCTCTTATTTTATACAACAACTAACGTTAGTGGTTAGTATAATCACTTTTTTTAGATCTTTTGTATATGCATTGTTTGTATTTAATATAGCCTTATTTTGTTGTAACTCAATTTAATATAGCCATATTGTATAATTTTTTTTTAGTGTGCCTTATTAATTCCAACTTTTTTTCAAGTACAGAACACACTAGTAATTTTCCAATCCAAGACCAAGAATAATGCAAGCAAACTGGTAGTACTTACTGATCTCTTGTTTCTCCTACACAACAAGTAAATCAAGTAATGTAAAATAATCACTTTATATCATGGTTTTTGACATCATATTCCATTGTTACAAAACTCATTGATTAGGTTGTCTAGATTCTTCCAAGAAGAACCAACACCTTCCTCCAAAGCCTTCTTCCCCATCTTACCATACACTTCAACATTCCTCCTCAGCTCTTTCCCTTTCTCTCCTTCCATCAACTCCTTCACTTTCTTTGCAACCTCTCCTCTTCTCACAACTCCATCACTCTCCGCAGCCACCGCTCTCACCGCCACTCTCAGCTCTTCCACCACCAATATCGCATTCAAAGGCTGCTCCGCGGATACTGGAAACGCCAAGATTGGAACCTCAGAGCAAATGCTCTCCATCAGAGAGTTCCATCCACAGTGACTTAAGAACCCTCTAACACTCTCGTGCTCTAGTATCTTCCTCTGATCAACCCATTCATCTTTCACCACCATTCCTCTCTCCCCCACTCTCTCTTCAAACCCTTTTCCTATTTTGTTTCCTTTCACCACCCACAGAAAGTTCACCTTTGATTCTTCCAACCCTAACGCAATCTCCTCCACTTGTTCTCTAGAGATCTCGGCTTGTGACCCAAAAGCCACGTAGAGGACATTGCATCCCTTGTCTCGCTTTTCATCAAGCCATTTCATCCAAACAGGTTTGACCTTCTCTTCTCCCTCATCCTCCAAGCTGAAAGAAACAACAAGGTACCATAATAATCATGTTTTCTGCATTTTCTTATTGATTAGTACAATAATTATGAGCAATCATAAATAAAGACTATTTAGTTTTTGTTGCAAAGTAACATTTACAAATCATTACCTCATTCCTAGATACTAAACTCTAAATTCTAATCAGTAAATCTTAAACCAAAAAAAAAAAAAAAAATCCTTATATGCTATTATTGAACAAAAACTAGAACTGGTGATATTAAACAATATTTCTCTCGACTTATTTACACAAACATGAATAATATTACCTCACATTCTAAACCATAATTATATACTTTAAATAATAAATAAACCATGAACTCTAATCACTAAACCAAAACTCAATACATAATAATCAAATTATTTTTATCTTTTAATAAATGATTTTCCTTGCTAGTTTTAACAGAAAAATGCATCGTTAGTGATATTGACAATATATATTTCTCTATATTTATTTACACAAGAGCATAAATAGATTAGCTTACGAGTTGTTGCCTAGACAAAGCGGTCCAAGTGCCCACGGCTTGAGCTCACGATTACGCTTATAGAAATCTAAAAACACCGGCTCAAGATCATCGAACGTGTTGAATATGATACCTTGACTCTGACTCATAGACTCGACTTGATCTAAGATAAGCTTGAATCCAGGATCTGTAGTGGGTTTTGCATCAGACATATCTTCAACAAAATCACATTTTCTAACCTTAATCCACGGGAACTCCGGTACAGACACCGCCTCTGTCTCCGACTTAACCTTAGACAGAAGCTTGTTTTTGAAAACACTGTCCAATATAGAGGGGGAAGCGCAGTTCATACCCAAGAACACAAGCCGAGGAAACCCTAGCTTTTGAGCTGACTCTAACGTCCACCACAAGAAACCGTCAGAGACCATGAAACTGACGCGTGGCAGCGACGTTAGCTCTCGCTCGAAGTAGGGTTGCATTGACTTGGTGGCTCTCGTGAAAGGGACGTAGAGGGAGGAGATAGCTGGAAGTTTTTCGGTGCATTCGATGCCGGGAGGGATCTCCGGGACGTTCTTGGGGAAAGGGAGGGTTAGGATTGTGGCTTTGGTGCCGGAGAGTGAGTCAGCGACGAAAGGACGGTTTAAGGGAGTGGTGAAGATGGTGACGGAGATGTCTTTGGCGGAGGAGTGGGAGAGGAGGAGACGGGCTAGTTGGAGCATAGGTATCATGTGTCCTTTGGACATGTATGGGAACAGAACCACGTGAACTTTTTCTAACTCCATTGAGATTTGAGCTTAGCTATGCAAAAGGCCTCTCTCTGTTTCTTATATTGAATCTCTAATGTATAAACAAAGACTTCAAAGTCTATTGAGATCTCAGATCTGTGGACAGGCTTCCCAACTGTTTCTCATATTTGTCTCTATGTATAATAAATAAAAGACTTAAATGTCGTTGGAGACTTGTCACTTGTGCCTAGTGGCTAGGGCCTAGGATGCTCTCTCCGTGGCCAAAAATTTAAGAAACATTTCAATAGCAATTTGCGAATTTTAACTAATTACTGTACTAACAAAATTAGCAGTTTGACAAACGTTTTGATGTCTTTGACACCTTACTTGCTATACACGACTCGTTGAGCTTTCTGAATCAGTTCTGGTTCATCAACTCTTTGCACTTGTCCTACAAAATCCTGATGACTATATTCACTAACGGTTTAAAACTTTTGAATTACTTCGTCTCTGAAAAAATGAATAAGAGATGATATTTTGATGTTATTCATAAGAATCTGAGTGTTAAAGGTACCTCAAAGAATTAAGATTGATAGAGTGAAAATGTGTAATACACTAGATGATGACTCAAACTGTTGAGGAAACTGATTCTAGAGAATGGCACAGAACCTGGTGTCAGTATTATTATTTTGCAGGAAGCAAAGAGAAAAGTGGTTTTCACTAGACTTGGTGACGAAGTGGTTGTTGTTATTAGTAGTCTCTGCCAGTGACAGTGTTATGCTGCAGAAACTGCGCCGAGTCCAGTAGCCAAAGAAAATAACTGGAAATCTGGTTAGTGCAGAGTTCTAATTGATCACCAATGCAGCAGCTCAGCTAGATAATGTTCAAGGAGAAGGCAGGTGGAAGTTGCAAGTTATAAGTAAATACAAAAAAATGGGGGCATTCCGAGAATTGAACTTGGGACCTCTCGCACCCTAAGCGAGAATCATACCACTAGACCAAATGCCCACTGATGTTTACTAGAACACTTAGTTAATTATTTTTCAATAGTTTGACCAAGATAGCTATTTAATTCAATCTTTATTTTGTGTATATTCATTGGTTCCGTTAATATGATTGATTTTTGAATCGATGACAATCATCCATTCTTTAGTTAGCTTTTGATTGTGAATGAAGCGTACGTGAAAACTTCGAGTATGTAAAGTAATTTTCCAAAAAAAAAACTTCAAGAGTATATGTAATAGATTTGGAAGAGAGGAAAACATAAATCAATGAACATTAATGTAAGCCAGTGATAGCTTTAACAGTTGTAAACAGTATCAAATGTCTATAAGTATAGGTATGATCTTGTAAACTAGTGATAGCTTTTCCCAGCAAAATCAATTATATATATACCAATAATAATAAACACACCTATCAGACATAAGTAATACATCAATGTGTGATGAGTAGATTATGAAATTCTACTATTAACATTATAAACCAAGATGCGTTTTGTCTTGTAGAATATATTGTTTGTCATGGTCTTACATGAATAACTAGTATACCGGTTGCAGTGGTTGGTCACCCAAATAACGAGAATATTCAAGATCACGAGTTTGAATAATCTCCTCGGAGTAAATTTTGTATTAAGGTACAATTATGTTTATAAAATTAATATGTATACAACATTTTAATAAGCAAACTAGCTTAGCCATCGGACAATGGTAAAATCTACTTGCCAAGAGTAAAGCATAGAATCGTGGAAAGGCACATCACACATGTTGCAGCGATCGGGACACTACAGTAGCGGAAGATGACAAAAAGAAAAGAGGCTCATTCCCCACATGAAGAGACACAAAGAAACGCAATGAATAATTTGTTAATTTAATTTTATTGCAAACTTTTAGATTCGCCAAGTGTGAGGAGTATCCTTTGGGGTTGATTTTGCTGTCGACAATAATTCATGATTTTGTTGGTATATATACATTGCATCTTCAATGTGGTTGTGTCGTTAACACTTAACAGCATATGGGGGTTATACTAATATGATCTTTTATTTTTAAGTTGAAAATAACTTTACACCGAAAAAAGTTGAAAATAACTTATCTAACGAATTAACTTTTGTATACCTCATCCATGTGAAGAACAAATGGAGTTGTAAATACACATTCTACACCGAAAATGAGTGCCAGAGACATCGGATCTATAAAGACTACACCCTCCGTTTCAAAAGGATACACACTCTAGAAAATATGTGTTTCAAAAAGATATGTATTTTAGAATTTCAAAGCATTTTTGGTCAACTAATAATGGAAAATTGTGAATTCCAAAACAATTTATTGCATTTTTTAAAAAAAATTTATTGGTTTACAGATATAGGAAACATAAAATTACAAAAAAAACTATAGATTAATAACTAAGTTTTAAATGTTTTTTTAATAAATGTGAAAATCTTAAAATATCTATTATTTTGAAACAGAGAGAGTGCTATTTATGGAAAACTATTCTCTGAAGGTAAGAGTGCCTATTCCCAGTTTTGTATAGTATTTTCTAATTTTCTTGCTTACTCTCTACACATGCATATATTAATGATGCATCCACTTCTTTTTGTATACTAATAGTTTGTTCCTGAGTCACACTGTATATAATTTTTTTTTAGAAAATTCGCTTAAGGTAGTAAACTAATACTCCCTCTGTTTCAATTTATTTATCATTCTAGGTTTTTGCACACAAATTAAAGAAACATTTTATTTTACATATTTTCAAGATAAAAACACAATTACCTATACACCTAACTACTTTTCAATCAATAGAAAAATAGAATATTATATAAAACTAAAAAATTTGTCTCGAAACTCTAAAACGACAATTAATTTGTGACAAAATAATAAGTCTAGAATAACAAATATTATGAAACGGAGGGAGTAGTATTTATCTGAGGAAACTAGCTACAAATGCTTTCAAGACTCTGATTATTGAATTTTCAGATCTGGCGAAGTTATTGATATTAGATACGACGTTTTACAAAACTTTAAGTTTTGTCAAATATAGCGGTTTAGTCTTAATTAAATTAGTTAATAGACTTATAAACTAAACTGAAAGTCTGCTCTGACCATTGATTATGACAACATTCATTGTGATAGCGAAACTCAAAACTTGGTCATGTTGAAACTCATCTATCTACAACAAATATCTGCATGTGTAGAAAGTACGTGCATGCATTAGATAGGACTTGTCAGGTTCAGCAAGATACGTATAAGCTCTGTAATATCTAGGCATTTGCCTCTTCAAACACATGTCCGAGTTTGTTCACCACATTAAAAGGTGAAAATATATCACTCAAAGGCAGTTTTATGTTTTTATTAACATGAAAAGACACTTATTGCTACTAACACACTTATTTGTAACAGCTTCCTTCTGACCAAAAACTCTAGTTTCTTTGTAACCAACTGGGCATGTAACGAGACCATATAATAAGTAGGAATCAACACCCACCACACATCTATCTCCTATTTCAATGGTTCAGATTGTTTCTCCATCCCCTTGACAAGATAATATCTGTCTAAGAAGAAAAAAAATCACTTTCTTCTCTTTGAGCTCATATCTTATTCTTATACCTCAAATATTTTTTTGCAGCTACATTCTTTTGATTTGTACCTTAAAAGATTCCTTCTCCACGTCTGAATATTATAACTTTAATCATCTTTGTCTTCATTTCTGAATAACAACCATTTTTTTTCTCAAACGAGAGTTCCGTTGTCGGCAACCTCAGACCACGAGCTCCTTTCTAACATAACTCTACTGATGTGGTTGAGAAGCTCGGACCTAGAGTTATGGCCGCCTCCTCGTCGTTGTGTTAGTCACAGATTGAAGAAAAAGCTTCACTAGTACAACAATGGTGAACTTTTAATTATTTGCACATATGATCCTCCAATTCTTTTTTATTCTCAAATTTTTTTAAAACTTATTTTTTTGTTCAAATTTATTCACGAATTTGTTCCAAAACTTTTAACTGTGCAATCCAAACCACCACAAATATTCAGATTGAAATATTGGTTCATAGTATTTTGTTTTATTTCATTTATACCTCATATGTTTTATTTGAAAATATCATTCAAGAAAACCCAAAATTTCAAAAGAAATTCAATGATTTTGGAGACATTTATTATAGATGATTAGTATAAATGGTCTAAATGAAGTACCAAATTTTTCTCTCTTTTTTTCCTATGTGATAACTTGAGCAATTTCTAAATGTACACATGTGGTTTGTCTTTCTTTTTTTTGAGCAACTAACTAAAACATATTAAAATCATTATCATAACTTGAGTAATATACAAATAAATCGGTGTACATATTTTTTTGTAAATTAGTACTGCCCTAGATTGGAAGCCTACATATCTAATGTTTATGTACACAAAAATAAAACTATCTGATATTCGTATATTATTGTGGGAGTTAATCAATGTACATATGAACAATTTTACACGTGGATAATAAATTATTTATGTACATGATATAACGTACACAGCAAATGACTTTTAAATTGATATGCTTGAGTTTATGGGGTTTCGAATCATTAGTGAAACATAATTCAAGTATATATGTATGCCGAGAATATATAACATTGCACATGTGTACACCAAGTAATGTACATGTGTACATCTATTATTGTACACCATAAATAAAAAGTAAGAAATATAACACACATGCTATCAAGATCTAAAATTAGCCTCATTCACAACAACGAGATTTTTTTTTTATTCACATAAACCTTGATTCCTTGTCCTTATATTTACAAAAATAAATATATCTCTTTAACATGTACATGCGTACACAAACATTTTGTCCACATCCACGTAGTCATCCAGTGTGCTCGTGTACACGAACATGTGTACACTAACATTATGCACACAACCACTTTGTCATCCAATCTTATCATCCAGTGTACTCGTGTACACGAACATGTATACACTAACATTATGTCCCTAACCACGTTGTCATCCAATCTTTAAAAAAAAAACTGTTTTTAATGAGTGGCAATTTTGTAATTATGGCTGGACTAATTAGTCTCAAAAGAGGTATTTCTCAGCTAGATCATGCTTAAAAGTGAAAAACTATGAAATGTGTAAATGTAAATAGTTTTGGACCAGCATACATATGAATGTTTGTAATCTAGTGAACATGTGGGTTTCTCAACTAGGTGTACATATGGATAATGCAGCTTGTTTGTAATCTAGTGAACATGTAGATTTTTTGGTTACGTGTACATATAGATAATGCAGCTTGGTGTACATATGGATAGACAACATTTTACATCATTTAAGTTCTGCTAAACCTCTCAAATATTCAAAAATCTTACAACCAAACATAGAGCATGTTTCCCAACTTTAATTCAGTGTAACATACATGAAAATGATTACTCATTAAGTAAATGAGTGTGAGAGACAAAAGTATATAGTATAGACCACTGAGGATGTAACAATTTGTTGCATCTCACTCCATTGATGAATACATATGTAAACTGGTTCGTTCCAGTGAAAGGCACAGAACCTCTTCGCATGGCCCTTATGCATTACCGGCTCCAGTCTCCTACAACAACAAACACAACATTGTACATGTCAATCTAGTAAACTAGGATTGTGTACATACCACATATGTACATTACGTATTATTTCCTAAAGTTATTTATATACTCGTTTATACATATGAATACACATTTCAAATTATATATATTTACTCGTGTACACATGTACACAATCCTTGTGTGTTTATGTGTACACACGTGTTGGTGTACACCTACCACAGTTTTGTCAAAACACCAAAACTAGCTACAAGCTTATACTTTTTCCTGCATTAATATATTGCATTACCATAGAAATTCCAAATCTGAAACATTTATCCCAAAATCAAAATCCCTGAATTGAAACCCTAATCCATAAACTTTGAAATGCATATCCTCATATCAATGGTCTTAGATAAAATCTCAAATTACACCCCTAATTTCAAAATTGAAATCTCAGATCCAAATCTCTAATCCCAAAATTGAAATCTCAGATTCGTAACCCTAATCCCCAAACAAATCTTACCTTTCGTTCTACCTTTTGAAACTCTTCTCTTTTGCGACAACGTCATCTTCTCTGTCCGGAAATCTTGTTCTGCCGGAAGTCGTGGTCGTCGTTCTGTCGGAAGTCGTGGTCGTCGTCTTCTCCAACACAAAGTTTCTTTTTTAAAAAACTCAAACCTCTAACTAGCCTAACTAGAAAGAAAATGTCTAATTACCTAAATACCTACGTTTAGTTCTGCTTTATGGAGGATAAATATGTCTTCAACCACTATAAAGTGCTCTAGGAGCACAAACTGTCTTAAATTGATATTAAAATCTTAAAACTGCCTCCCAGTGATAAAAACTCTTAAAAGGTGACGTTCGATTGCAGTTTCTACTATTAATTGAATGGTTATATTTTCTTTTCATAAACTGAAATTGATATTCACAACTTACAAGAACAGGTAGCATAAAGTTTATTATCTTCTTCCATTTTCCTTTGATAAATGCTTAGGAAGTGTCAAAAGTCAAAACCATAACTTTCTGCATAATATAATCTTTTTTGAACAACCTGCATAATATAATCAAAATAAGGAAATTCGGAAAAGTTTTGAAATAAGAAAAGGAGATTAAAGGACATCTATAAATTGACGGCGTCAAGTCAACGTGCAATTAAAAACACCGTCAATGGTAAAAAAAGTTAACGGAGATAGTAAATATTACACGGATCCCAGAAATGTAAAAACACTTTCACTAATCTAATCCGGGACTCCTCATCTTCTGCCGTCGAACCGGCGATTCCTCCGGCGTCGGCGACGATGTCAACACATCATCATCATCTTCATCATCTATCAGAGATGAGAGTGGCGAGGAAAAGACCTCCACGGGAGATAAAGGCGGAGAAGAATCCGAAGAATCAGTGGAAAGAGTCAACGCTGGCGGCGGAGGAAGCAAAGCGTGGACGGTAACAGAATCTTCTGGAAGCTTCCGTTTGTTTCCGTTAGAAAGCTTAACATCTCCGGTTAAGTGATTTCTCAGGCGTTTCACGTCGGCGAGTTTCACCGGTTTCAGTAAAAAATCCTCCGCACCTTCCTCAAGACACATGTCGATTCTAGTCAACACATTCTCAGACGACATTATTACAACTGGAACTTGTCGGAAACTGGACGATTCCTGTTTCATATTAACCAAAAAAAAAATCACATTGTTCAGACAAAGATTCAAATAAATTTCTTTCAAAAAAATAAAATTCAATTAAATCGTTATCAGAATTAAAAAAAAAAACGGCGGAAATGTTGAGACCTTGATTTTCTTGAGAAGCTCGTAACCGGTCATTCCAGGCATACAGTAATCAGTGATGATCATATCAACTTTCAATCTCTGAAAATATAACAAAATCAGTATTAAAAAAAAAGAAAAAAATCAGTATAAAAAAACAAAAATATCTATCAGAGTAATCCTAAAAACGACTTACATCTAATTCAGCAGAGGCTTTTTCGTTGTCTAGCCCTAGAAACTCCAGAGCACGCCATCCACTATCTACAGCCGTGACTGAAACAGAAACACCTTAGAATAAAAAAAAAATTTTCTTTTTTTGTGTGTGAATGCATTAAAAAAATAAATAGGAAGACGAACCTTTGCATGAGGTGATACGAAGTAATCTCTCAATGACAATACGATCTACGAGGCTGTCATCGACGGCCAAGACATGAACTTCATCTAAATCCAACGGTGGAGATTCCATTCCTCCGAGACCGACGTTCAGCATCTCTGAGCTACGTAGACAAGTAACGCCACCGTCTCTGGCCATTGATGAGTAGAAACTGAGAGGGAGAGGATATGAACAGAACAGGAGAGAATAAAAACAGAGCTCACATCTGTTTTCTTTTCTTCTCCTCCTTTAAGACTGTTTTATATTTCTGTTTTGTTTTTTTTCTGTAACTCTAATCAATCAATCTTTTAGTGTGTCTTTTTGTATTTATTTTTTATTTTCTCCAGCAAGGAAAATCTAACAAAATCTTTGGTTCATATTTATATATAAAGAGATTTTTATTTATTTTGTGCCGTGCTTTTAGGTAGGCTTGAGCGTTTTTAACTTAACCCGAAATACCGACCTTAATCCGAACCGGAAAAACCGAAACCGAATCCAAACTGTTTTACGAAAATACCCGAATGGGACTTGTGAGCGTAGTACTTTGGACTATGGTTATAATCCGAACCAAACCGAAATCCGAATTAGGATCCGAAGATATCCAAAATTAGTTAAATATGTTAATGTTTTTATATATGTTAAGGTGATTTAGATATTTTAGTGTATTCAAAATATTTTTGTAGTTTGTTTTATTTGTTATTTTGAATACTTTTTAGTTAACTTAGATAGCTTAACTAATTTTTAATTAGATTTGTAATTAAATTACATATTTTGAAACTTTTTTTTCAATTTTCAAGGTTTTAAAAAATATATTTTGGACGATTTTAAACATTGGTTAGATCCGATCCGAACCGAACCCGGAAGGAATCGAATCGAATCCGAACCGATAATTAGTAAAAACCGAATGGTACTTGTGAACATAACACCGAAAATCCGAAAATCCAAATAACCCGGACTGGACCACCGAACGCCCAGACTTACTTTTGGGTTGAAAATGAACTTTTATTTTGAAAAAAATATATTAATAAATGGGATTGAGATTTCTGTTGACCCAAAAAAAAAATAATAATTGAGATTTCTTAATATCAGATGGGGCCCTATGCGAATAATATAGAGAAAAATACCATAGAGGAGAAGTCCAGTCCGTACATAGGAATCCAAAATACCAAGATCAAAGAGCTGAACATGAGAACCTGGTTTACTCCCCATTATAATTGACAGTAGCACTTAAAGTAAACCGGTTCATTCAGTATTTATAATCCGACTCGGTTAGGAAAAAAAATTTATTAGTGTTTTGTTCTCCACGTTTCAATGTAATTTAAACATATAACTAAAATTTACCCAATCTAATCTCTATTGCTGCAAGTTTGCAAGTGTTCTTCTTCTCACCACTTTTATGCTGTACACATTTATATTTTTAAATGTAGATAACAACTCGAAATATTATTTGTTCATTTAGATTGGTCAGTTACTACTTTATTATCACGAATCAAGATAGTATATAATCCACAGAATAAATAGTTGACAAACAAAAAGAGGATAAATAATTTGGAATTAATATTCGCCTAAGTATATCCATCTGATTTTATAAAATTTATATTATCCCAAACGCTTACTTTACAAAAAAAAAATGAACTAATATAAAAAGCCAACCAACGAAAAATGATTTATTTTTCTTCCTGTAAAAACAAGAGGAAGGTGGACAAATAATAATGCATTGACGTCCACATTAAAATTAGGATCCGCGGGGCCCAGGAAATCTAAAGGAGGGCCCATTAATATTTGTTCGAACATTTCTTTATCCAGGCATTGGACTTTTCCTCTTTTTTCTCTAAACATAATTTGCTGTTTCACTCTAAAGTTTAGACACCACAGCGTATCAAATCTTGGAGATTGCTTTTACTTTGTCTTTCCCCACTCTAAATAAGTAAAAATGTTTATAAATGCACTGCATTTCCTTCTCGTTATAAATAAAATAAATAGTTTTAATTGTTTTTTCGCCAACTAAAATTATTAAAATGTTTAGTCCAAAGAGATTTCTCTTGTTAATAAAGAAAAATATCATACAGAACATTTATGAGTCTACATTAGTTAATATCCATGAATTGGATATGCCCCTTTTAAAAAACATCGAAATGAAGATTGATTTGTGAAATGATTTTTCAAACGATATGGGCCAATGAATGATGGATCAAATCTTCATGATGTCAACTAGAAATCCAGGGTTGAACACATAATTTTTTAAAACAAATAAAATTTATAATAGTAGTGATAGACGTGTCGCACATAAAATCAAAGTTTATGTACCTTTCCTAGGAACTTTGGTACTTGAATACGTTTTGGAGCATCTTTTAATCCTCGTTGTTCCTATTATTCCTTTGGTGGTCACCAGTCTCAGCCCATGCTAAGATAAACTAGTTTATTATTTCTAACAATAAAAGTAACAAATAGTTGACATAACTATACATATCCAGTGTCATATTCAAATTCCAAAACAATAAAGATGCTAAATGCACTTGACTTAATTATACGATATACATTAAATTCCACAACAATATAAAATTAAATTTGGTATGCATTCTCACTTAGCAAAAATCATATGAACTGCTTTGTCATCGTGTAAATGCAAAATGCAGAAATTGTGTTTAAAACAACCGAGCCTCAGTAGACCTACGAACAATTAGAGTACCCGATTTTCATATAACAATGTCATTGTCTTGTGATTTTAAGACTTAGCACTCTGCTAATACCAACTCATCAATCATTCCATTTATACCGGTCTCAATCATAAAGCATGGAGCATATAATCCCATATATATACCCAAATTATCAAGAAATTAATAAGGAGAGCACGAGAAAAAAGAGATCCGAAACCATCATGTCATAACTAAAAGTTACCTAAACAAGTTCATCATGGGCCTTAAACCTTTCGGGTATATACCCAATTGTTGTATTAGCCGACGAAGGTAAACATTCTTCAGTCACATCAGAAATTAAACAAACTTAAGAAATCCAAAATGGTCTGGAAAGGTTCGCAGGTCGGAGTAATATAACTTTATATAAGCCTGACGCTGAAGTTTTCAATAAGGCCCAATACTATCTCCAAGAAATTAAGTTTTGTATACCTAAGAAACCAGACATTAAGCATGTTCAATGCAGAGTTCTTAGTAGGGGTGGGCGTTCGGGTACCCGTTCAGGTTCGGGTCGGGTATTTCGGGTTTTCGGGTATTTCGGTATTGGGGTTTAGAACCCGTTCGGGTATTTTTACATATCGGGTCGGGTTCGGATATTTTTAGTTCGGGTTTGGTTATTTCGGGTCGGGTTCGGATATTTAGATTTTGGAGGAAAAATTTCAAATTCTTTATTACTTAAGTTTTATGTATTTAAAATTTAACTATTAACTTAACTGTTTTTAAAATGTTTAATAAGTTAGATAATTAATAAGTTTGAAAATAAATTATTGAAAATAAAAATCATTATGTTGGTTGTTATTTTTGAATTTTGGATGCAAATTTTGTTTAAAGTATGAAATAAGAAACTGAATATACATTTTAAATGAGTAACAAATCACCTTTTTTTACAATTATATGTATATTATATGATATTAAACTATTTATAACATTAATATAAATAGTTTTAATAAAATGAGACAAAATAAACTAGGAATAAATAGGTATATATACATATGTTCGGTTATCTTTGGATACCCGTTCGGGTTCGGGTATTACCCGTTCGGGTTCGGATATCCAAACTCTCCTAACTCAATACCCGTTCAGGTATTTTGCTACTTCGGTTCGGATTTCGGTTCGGATATTTCGGGTCGGGTTCGGGTACGAGTTCGGGTATCGGATAAAGTGCCCATCCCTAGTTCTTAGATTGGAGTTCTAAACGGAATATAAGAACCATTTTCTTAATTTTTAACTAAAAAAGTTAAGAACCGACTCTTAAATATCTTATTTAAGAATTGATTCTTATAATTTTAGTTAAAAGTTCAGAGACGAGTTCTTATATTCCGGTAAGAACCCAACCTAAAAACTCTGCTGTAATTTAGACCTCTCAATACCACATATTGATTCCAGTATTATGGCGAACTAAATAAAAATATAGCAAGAGTATCTATATGGTTAGCTTAGAGAACTGCATCGTGCATGATCTAGGAAGTTCCAATAATATTATCCTTTATCAGCGTTGTCATGTTACTTGTGTATATTAAAATTAAAGTTTGGACTTAGTATAGTTGATTGCTCAGAAAAAGTTAAGTATAGTTGTTATGCTGTCAAGTAGTAACAAAGCTGTAAAAACAAGTATTACCCTTTTATTTGAATTGAGCAAATATTAATATCTTGAAGTTAAGAAATTATGACTTCTTCATTTAGATCTATATGTTATCATTGTTTGTTTCTCATCTATTGATCCTTTAGCTATAAAAATATAGTTTTAAATACTCGTCTTGGCATTCTTGGTGGTGGTCTTCTTTTCCTTTCCCATAAAATATACAACTAAATTAGATATAAGGTTCAAGTGCGCGTTGGAGTCGTCTAGAAGAGAAGCAAAGATTTGATTAATGGCAGAGGCAAACTGCAGGGACCACATTTAGATACTCTAGTTATATATCGTATTCGACCTAATTAAAAAAAAATTAAACTAATTAAACTTAACTATATCAAACTTTCTTTAATATATGCATGTGCTAGTTTTCGTTTTTTTGTTGATTTTAACTTTATTTGAACCTAAATAAGTAGAATGAAAACATATATGATCTGAATTTTGATATAGGAAACGGTGTATGAAAAGGTTAGTATATCACATATATATAAAATCAAATAGAATATTGTCCTCTTGCCAGTAAGTTTTTAGTATCACTTAATAGAAACAATTGGAGCAAGTTAGATTGTTTTTCTTATAGAAGTTATGTTTTTTCTTGACTTCGTTACATGCTAAACTTGAAACGTTATATATGTTATTCATACTCATTGTCAACAACTACATTATTATCGAGATGAATGGCCGAATGGGAAATG